AAAATTATACTCAAAACAAACAAATAATACTACCTATAAATAACCTAATAAGTAATAATATTATCGACTCATATGACGTGGCGTATGCGTTGGTCGACGCTCTAACGACACGGGCTACACGTCGAAGAGCTCAGCGCTCACTGACTTCAACAAGCCCGTGAGCAGTAAATATGCCCAGATTTTAAAATAATTTCTTAATAAAATCAAATATTGGTCTTTTGAAAAATAATTTACTATAGAAATGTTCATTAATAAATTGCCTATCCATTGGTGTAAATCGCAAAATAAAATAATACTTACTTTACGAGGAGATGCATGTTATCAATAATAATTTCACATTTATGTGGTTTCGTTGTAAGGAGATTATATTAATATTTATTCCTTTTAAAAAAAATTGGATATAGCTTTTATGGAATCAAGATTATGTAGAAATATAATGTGTTTTTTATTTGTTGATATATCTTTTAAATAAAAAGTAGATAGCTTCTAAAAACCGCCCAAATAACGACTAGCGCGACATTTTGCTCAACCTGCGCCTTAAGTTAGAAGCCCTTTAGTTCAATATGTTGGTTGTCTTTTGGCGTGATGACGTTCATGAACTTCTTTTAATCATCATCATCGTCTTTCATGATTACAATAACAAAACTGCCGTAGATGGCCTCCCCCACAAAACGCCACAGAACACCGTCCTGAGTAGGGTTGCCACCTGTACTATAATATACAGTATCGTACTATATTTTTGTCAATAATTGTTCTATATATTATAGAAAAATAATATAGTACGAAAATACTATATTTTTATCCCTAATTCAACTGTCCCGCTTTTTTATATTGACTGGAAGTCTGGAACAAGTAAGTTTTACGAAAATATTTTTTTCCGACATGAATGTAAAACGGAAAGAAGAAACAAATAGAGCGTGTAGCTGTTCATTTAATTAAAATGAATTGTTAATTTATTTTAATATGCATCTAAATTGTTCAGATTCCTATAATTATTTTAAAGGTATTAAGTTCATTTATGGCCAAAGCGAAAAGCAATAACGAATATTTATGGAAAAGTACATAAATATTTAAAAAAATATCTTTCAATTAAATTCAAAAATCAAATTTTTGAATTTCCCAAAAGTACTATATTTTTGCATCTTTATTGGGAAAAATACTATAATTGTTACGAGATGTGTCGCAACTTCTTTTGCAATCAATTATAAAATTAAAAGTTACAATTAAAGTTACATCCTATATATGTTTTACTGCTGGGCACATGTCTCCCCTCATTTCTGAGAGCGTTTTCGGGCTAGGAACATGTCTTCGAAATATTTTTTGTCTTATTTCTCAGACATGCTGGTTTCCTCACAATGTTTTCCTTCACCGCTAAGCACGTGGTAAATCAGCACTTAAAATTGCAATTAACAATTTCATTGGTGCCGGCGGGGATCGAACCCGAGTTGCTAGCGTGCTGTGAAATTTACAGCGGGCGTTAAACCATCTGAGCTAACACGGCGCAACAGAAGATTAAGTGAGAGATAAAATACGGGGCGATACCTAGTTGGCTTAATGTTTAAATTACATATTCTTTATCCCTAAGCAGGGCTCGGATAACGGTATATTTTTCGAAGCGGTTTCGCCTTAAATACCTAAAAATTTATTTGTTTCGTTTATGTTCGAACGGAATCATAATAAAAACGTTTATGAAGAGAACGAAATTTAAATCGTTCTTGTTTTGACCCTGCAATGACGAAACAAAAATACCTCATGGGTTTAAACTTGTCGTGGCACGCGCCATTCATTTAGCTTCCTGTGGAATAAACAGTTATTTACGTTTTCATATTATGTTCTCATTTCGTTTTTGTTCCGAACAAAATCTTACACAAGGATCCCAAACGTTTTAAAAATGTTATCTTTAATAACGTTTCCGAGCCCTGCCACTAAGAGCCTTTCAAATAATCGATAAAGTGCAAGGTTTACTCTCACAAGCCGTGGCGCCGCCGTAAGCTGATAAATTTTATCAATTTTATGTAAACACTGTGCAAGCTCAGACGAAGTCTACGCTCTTATTATTCCTGAGTACAGGCGGCAGCTATGTTTGATTCTCGTCGGGAGCAATAAAATTGTGTGCTGTGAAAATATTGCGATATTTTCACCTGGAAACCTAGACGTCTGACAAGTAGAAATATATTTTGAGGACAATGCAAAACCGCCAACACGCATTAGGGCAGTACGCTGGATTATTTCTTATGCTAAAACACTCTTTAACGTGAGGAGGAGGCCTGTGCCCAAGCTTTATGTACCCAGCTTTTAAACAAAACAGTTAAACTCGTGAACTATTTGATCTAAAACTACCTAACCTATCGATATAGTCGGTTAATTTGGATGTAGTAATCCTGGATTGTTAGGATCACCGAGAAGTCTATCCCATATCTTCCCGTGGGTGTCGTAAAAGGCGATAAATGAAACCAGGCTGAATCTAAGCAATTTATTGGTAATGTATAATATATAAAATGCTAGTTCAGCATTCATATTTTATGACCAATTAAGATTTTTGTGGCCAACAGAGCTTTCATAGCTCAACATTAGTAAAAAAAATCCATGTATTTTGCTTATGAGTTGAGCTACACACAAATTAAAATTTCATGTCAAGTCCCGTGTTCAGAGCCGGTAAACTAACAGACTCAAACGTGAAAAATAAGAGCCTGTATTTTATGATATCAGTTGATTTATTATACAGCTAATGATATGGTAGCTGTATGATAGCTTTGTAAACATTATGTCACGATTTAAATTAAGGCATAACATCGTGTAGTGGCTGTGCAAGTTCATTATCCTATCCCCATATCACCATATCACCCATGTCACCCGTGAGTGTCGTCAGAGGCGATAGATAGAAGCTGAACCGTGACGAGGGCAGCAACAGCTCCCTAATAACAACATCTGAATAAATAAATACTGCGGTCGTCACCCGCATGCCAAGCGTGACAACTATGGCAAATATGGCATATATTTCCCCTATTGGTTGCAATGGATGGATGATAAAAATAATAAAAGAGTAAAAATGAATTAATGCAAATCTGTTAAGTTTTACATTTATGTCATACCTACCATATTACCATCAATCGCGATTGTGTAGATGCGGTGGGCGATTTCATATTTTAAAGCATTTTTTGAATTAAATATGAAATAAAATTTGATGTAAAATAACCTATTTTTATTAAAATTATTTAATTTATCATCAGTTTGAAATAAAATGTTAATTTCTTTAAAAGAACTTTATTGAACGAATACAATTCGTTAACTGACACTCCTTCCTATAGGTGCGCATGTGTATCACAAGGAGCCGCACTTCTCTTCTTTACAGGCTGTCCCAGTAGTTGTGGATAATCTGGTACGTACGTGTTCGGGCGGGAGGGAGGTGGCCTCTGTTCCCTAAAAAAAAATTCTATCCCGAACGGTTCGCGGTCTACGCCTTGTTTTATAAAATTCCGAAAATTCGTACTTCTGCTCACATTTGTGGTCATCATGCCCGCATTTTAATGCCTAGATCGGATTTTTTTCTTTTAATGTGTTCCCTAATAATAATGTTTCTAAATTACCCTTAAAAGTTTTCAACTACTATGGGTAGTATTTTACAAGACGGCACTAAATATAAGTTTAAATTTTTTACTTTATTTAACTGCTAAGTTTGAGCACCTGTGGTGAAAAAAAGACGTATAGGATCTGTGTGGCCAACCATTTAAAAAGTTTGCCTATATCATAAGGATTCTAAAACATCAGCATACCATGTACTTAATGTCATTACTTACTGAGCTTTAGCCTTTAATGTGTAAAAGTAGGCATTCCATTACAAAACTACAAAATTATTGGCAGATAGTTTTTTTTAACATTGGATGTCTTTATTAGGTAAGTACATTTGTCGCCCTTGAAAATTTTACTTTACTACCTGCTCGCCTTGTTTGGACGAATTCTAAGCTGTGTGAGCGAGACAAACGGTGCTTAGGATTAATGTGAGTAAAAAGGATCGACTTTTTACTCATATTAATCCTAAGCACCGGTTCTGTATATTATATAATGGTGTGTCAATTTATCAATTATTTACGTGAATTAATCACTAAGTAGAGCGTTCGTGAATGACTAACAGTCTACGCGATACGTGAGACAAGCCGCAGGTAAAAGCTAGTAATATGAATAAACGACTGAATAAATAACATTAATTTGAATAATTCAGACGCAATTAGTTCTTTTACTTTATGTACAATCAATAAACACTTTCGGATCACATTATTATACTTAAAACGATAGAAAAGTACCTAACAAAGTTTAATGCATTGAGTTATGTGTAACATATATAAATCAATGGTTAGGGTCTTTACAATACCTAAACTTCCTAATGATGTGCCTACTTAACACTATTTCGCGAAATACGACACCGAAGTGATAACGTAAAAATATAGTAATTTCTATTGAATGACCATCAACTAAGAGTTCACAAAGTGCGGGCCCAAATGGCAATCTCAATTAGACATCTCATAAAAACATTAAATTTAAATTTGTCGATATAAAATATTTGTAGAAAAAAAGTATTTCTTAAGGCCCAGTGGGCCGAGAGATCAGTATCAGTGATCTTTTTTATCTTACCCTCTTAGATAAAAGTTGGCTTCGTTTCCTAAAAGAAATTTCAAAACATTTTCAGTAAGAATTACCAACTAAAGTTAACGCGACAACCACTGAGTTACACTCAATGACGACAGCACATACCGCCATCTATTAGAACTTTAATAAACGACCAAGATTGTCGTGGTGCGTCAAATTGCCCTACTAGTTTAGTTCATGCCACAGATCACTTTTCAATCTCAGATTATTAATTGAGTGTAAATTTAAGTTTTCAATATACTAAAAACTCACATTCATATTCTTCAAAATTAATGAAAAGCTTACAATTATTTAAACTTACCTTAATTCGGAGAATGGTTACAAATTTAACAACTGTAAAAATTAAACACAATTACTTACCTCCAGGTGCCTCCGGAGGAATCATTGCTGGATTCCTTGAGCTGGGTGGCGCTGGCGCTCTGCAAGTTTGGCGTGTTCACACTGGAAAACAAACTATTTATCATGTTGCTGTAATTTGTAATTAGCAGTAGAGTTTAAATTAAATACAAAATTAGTACTACTAGTTTAAATTAGTACTAGTATTTATTGACTCGTCCTAACCTATTCTTATCACATGTAACGCAACGCTTGTTTGTTTTAAGAAAAAAGGCTGTGCCATACGAGCGCGGCGCACAGTCCACCTGATGGTGAAGTAAATGCTAGTAGCCATTAATAGACATTATGACACCTACATTAACTATTGTGTTTAATTGAAATGCAGATGCGTTGTCACCTCTGAGTACTAAGATTACGAACACTAATTTCTACTAATTAGATTTTAAGTTAACATCAAAAGTGAATCCCAGGACAATATATATTATACCAGGACAATATATAATTAATTAACCCCCGACGAGAACAGAAGGGTGTTGCCATGGCACAACAGCTATATTATGGTTGTAGCACCAATGGGTCCGTTCGATCGGAGATGGACTCACAGATTACCAGCGTAAAATATCAGCTTAATTAAATGAAATATTTCATATTGTTAGATAACCCTCTGTTTTCAAACAAAAAAATGAAGGGTGTTAGTTGATTGTATTGTGTATTCTGTGTACCTGTGTATGTATCTCTTTGTTGGATCATAGCTCCTGAACGGATGAACTGATTTTAATTGTGTTATTTTCGTTTGAAAGGTGACTTAAGAGTGTTATGAGCAATATTTTTAAAAAGAAATCTGTTCAGCCGGTGGAAGATCAACAGCTCTTTTTGTTTCGGGGGTAAATTTTGCAGTTATCTCAAGCGATCGAACCCGTATTAGTCGCGTACTGTGAAATTTACAGCGAGCGCTTAGACCCTGAGCTACAACGGCTCTGTCTCTATTTTTTGGTTATTACTTATTATAATATAAATGCAACAGGAGATGGGTAGCAGCATCTTCCAGACAACATTTTTTGATAATTCTTTCCAAGACAGAGGTTTGTTTCCGGAACCTGTGGTTAAACTAAAAATGATTAAAAAATTACATATCATCTAATATATAAAAATTAATTTTTGTTTTTTACGCGGTGCCATACCGTTTATCAGATTGCGCTAAAACTTTGTCAATTTGTTGCTTGCACTTGTGAGAAGATTATAGGCATACTAGCTGTTCACCGCGACTTCGCCCGCGTTTTATTTAGGGTTTTAATTAGGTTGCGCGGAACCATAATTCTTTTTCTAAAATGTAAGTAGCCTTAGTTACTCCTTATAACATCAGCTATCTGCCAGTGAAAATCCCGTCGAAATCGGTCCAGCCGTTTCGGAGATTAGCCGGGACAAACAGACTGACAGACAGGCAGACAGACAGACAGACAAAAATTTTAAAAATTGTGTTTTTGTTATAAGTACCGTATATACTTTCATATGCATTTAGTAAAAAGCTGTTATTTTAATATTACAAACAGACACTTCAATTTTATTTATTTGTATAGATTACAACTAACAGGTGGCGCGCGTATCGTACCGACAAATTTATTTGAAAGTTATACATCACTCAACTTCAATGAATGTATTATATCATTCCTAATTAAACAATATATTATGTAACTCTTCCAAATTTGAAACGTTATTTCGACTATTAGTTTTTTTCTGTGGCAGCAACGCGCCGCGTACCAACGAGCTATTTTTGAGTATCTTTATATAAAAAAAATACAAGTATACCAACTAAAACTGATGGTAAGCGACAATAGCTTAATGTTTTATGAGTGCGATCACTAGAATTTTATCTCGTATGGGTTGCAATCATATTAATTAAAGTGTCCTCTAGGCCAGTTTCTGTCAGGGCATCGGGACAGGTCAGGATTATAGAGGAGGAGACTGTGTACACTTGCTCAATCTTATAGACCCGATGGGATAGCAATCTGTCACGATCGAAGAGAGGTCAGGAGTAGGACCAACGGCTTCATGTGCTTTCCGAGACATGGGATGACACGCCGCCATTACCCTGACTCTTGGTTGCGACTGAAAATTGCTTGTAAGAAAAACCTAATCACCGATCTTGGTCGAGCCAGAATGCCAGCCCAGAACTACATGGTCAAGGGTCGCGTTTCCGACCACTTGACAAACGATTCAGTTGTATTAATGGGGTACATTTTTATTTAAAAAAAAAACGTTACCCCCACATTAGAATTTTCTCGCAATAGATTCGCAATCTGCAAAGATATCATATGAAATTCTTTGAACAATAGTCCAATATGACACTTTTCCCTTATTTTCTATTATCTTAAAATTTAATGGGGCCAACCTTGAGGTAAAGCGCATTTAATAAAAAAAGAATCATCAACATTAGTTCACAATGTGCGAAGATATCGTGTAACATACATACAAAAAAACAAACATATACTCGAATTGAGAACCTCCTCCTTTTTTAAAAATAAAAAGTCGAATAAATGATAATAAAAATCGAAAAATGTTTTTTTATGACAAAGATTTATATATATTTCAAATGAAATAAATATTGTATGTAATTAAAGCGTGCTTATTTACAAATTCGTATAAAGAAACGCAGATATTTAAAATACTTACTGAAAATGATAAAATATTAACCGCTTAACTCATTTTTTTATTAATATTTTTTAAGCAAGTTGTACAAAATAATGATTTATTACAAGAAAGTCTAATATTCACAAGATTATTTTACATACATTTACCTTATTTGTATAAGGTGGGGCACGATCTGGCCCCATCTGGATCTGGATTTTTTTTGTTAAAGTACCGTATATACTTTCATATCCATTTAGTTAAAAGCTGTTATTTTGAAATTACAAACAGACATTCCAATTTAATTTATTTATATAGATTATTTTTAAGGCTTTTTTTTAAATTTACTATAATCCAAATTGAATAAAAATATATGCTTTCAATTTCAGTCCTGAGAGGCACTAAGTATATCCATTGGTAGCTATAGGTAGGTATCTTAGTTTTAATTTGCATGGAAATTGCTTGAAGGGTGGCCAGGTGTACGTATGTGAGAGGATAATGCACTATTCTCGAAAAATTAATTAGAATATATTATGTATGTTACGTTTCATATTTCATAATTTATCATCATCATTACAGTCCATCATAAGTCCACTTCTAAGGATAGCCAAGGAACACCACAAAGGACGGTCATGAGACATTTGCGTCCATTGACGTCCTGCCACTGTTAACCAGGTAGCCACTTCATTCAGTGGGAAGCCGTCCTTCACTTCGTTTATCGGTACGATGCTGCCACTCGAGAACCTTTCTTCTCCATCGGTTGATCTTAGTTGAGAAAAGGAAATCTATGAAAATATTCACACTCCTAACTTCGCAGTACTTTTTAAAAAAACAATGTCGTCATATTAAAATAGCTCTTCCTTAAATCTGTTTCGGTGTTGTTTTACGCTGGTTATTTGTAATAATAAGCTGTTTCCCTGGTCCTACCAAACCATTTGTGAATCGCACCCTGTATTCTCATAGAAACTAGAATCAGTATGATACCAAACAAAACATATTTAGTCAAGGAAAGAAAAGAAATAAAGAAGATATGAAGAAATTTCCTATGGTGAAAAAGCTTTATCGTTATTTATTGATCATTATTGAAAGTTGAATCTTTTCCTATATCTATATCGTATAATTATTCCAAGTTCTAAGGTACAGAAATATAATGTTATCTTGGACGAAAATATTGATTTTTTTAATAGAATAAGGGTGACAAACGGGCACACAGTCCACCTGATGGTAAGTGGTTGCTGTGACCCATAGACATCTACATCTATTTTATTTTGCGAATTAAAATGCAGATGCGTTGTCAGCCGTGAGGACTAAGATAGAATGCCTCTTTTCCAGTAAAAAGGGTCTCCGGTTCTCTACACTCACCATACGAAACACAGCAGTTTAAGCTACTTTTTTACGCTGGTATTCTGTGAGAGCATGGTCCGTCCCCGGTCGAGTCGACCTATTCGTGCTAAAACTATACTATTAATATAGCTGCAGCATGGCTCTAACACGCATAAAATCCAAAACAATGCAAATTATTAACTTATGTTTAAATTTTAGTATTTATAAAGAATACGTCATATCAACGATATCGAGAATCGAGTCTTACCCAAGTCATGTTGAAAGATCGTTTAATATTATAATTAGTATAATTCAAAATGTTCACCCCGTTTCCAGTTGAGCTATGTCCTCTATCTCATGGAGAATTTAGTTTGAAATGATTGCAAAATTTTGCACCTAACAGGCAAGGAAGAAAATATATATTGCATTGACATTCATATACAACTTAAGTGTTATCTCATCGGGAAGCTTCCTTAAAAACTATAGCAAAATTTGTAAGACCTTATTGTAATAATTAGTGAGCAAATAAATAGTTGAATACTCGTACCAAGCAGACAAACATGGAAGAAAGCGAGTTGATAGAATCGTGGCACTAAAATTATATTGTTGTGTCTAGAGCAAGGGCGGCCTAGACCCGTTAAGTTCTAGACGTTTCTACTCTGTTGATAAATACGCGTTGTTTAACAGGCCATTGTGGCCACCTCAGTTACAATAGCCTATCAAACGCGAAGAATAAACAAAACCCAGCGGCGCTGGGCCATTTCGCGGAACCGGGAGGAGGTTCGAGATGCGTCACCGTGTACCACGCACCACACGGATTGTTGACGTTGGTGCGCCTAGTGTTTGCGAAATGCAAAATGTGTTATCGGTTGGTACATTAGGCACTTGTGTTTATTATTTTTAAGTTTAAATTAGGAATTCAATTGACTGTTTGTTCCATTTCGGTGTGTGAAAGTAAACAACATTAGGAAACGTAAACTTGACGCTAAAAGGTGCCATAAATTGGTTGATGACTTATTGTGTCATATTTCAATAATGCGCTTAAGTTTCGCTCTTTTCAAAAAATTTTAACCTGCCTGAATATAAAGCCGAACGCCCACCGCGAATGAAACGAACTTAGTTTATCTTAGCTCGCATAGCTGAGGCAGTTTTACATACATGTGCGTCCTAGTTTTAAGTCACGAAAGAAAGTTTTCTTTCTTAACTCTTTGGAAGTATAGACTAGAAATGAGTTGGGGGGTGGCTCGAACTTTAAGCAAAGTCAGTTTAAATAGCCTATCATGAAGAGAAAGTCATGGGGGTCATGGCTGAATAGGGCCAAAAAGTTCTCATAACACTCATAGGGGTTCAAAATGGCCAAAAACCAAAACATTTTAAAATTCTTATTTCGGCTATAACTCCGCTTAATTCGGAGGTTCTTACTTCTTACACAGCCTTTAATTCCCGCATCCCACATGTTTACAGTTAAAAATATAAACGACTTACACTTTCTTGTTGGCGACAGAGGGTTCGATGATCAGAGGGAGGCCACAGTATGAGTATCCTGGAACAATAAACGAAGTCTGTTTGGTAAAGTACAAATTTAGTGTTTTACCGCATCATCGTCATCAACATTATTAAAAAAATACAATACTAAAATATAATGAACAAAATTTCATCCACATTCCAAGTACGTTTGCCAATAGTGGTATGGAGCGTTGTGCTTGCCCGTCCGAACAGAGTTCCGTTTCATACCGAGACGGTACAAAATAACATTCCACATGGTTGAGTTCGCGCAAAACCCACTTGCAATACACAGAAAATATATTCTCTAAAGAAAAATAAGAGGCAACTGAGACATATTTTTATACGTAGTAGAGCCATCCAAAAGAGGCATTCCATCTTAGTCCTCACGGGTGACGACGCATCTGTATTTTGATTCTTTATTGATGATAGATGTAGATGTCACAGCAACCACTTACCATCAGGTGGACTGTGTGCTCGTTTGTCACCCTAACCTATAAAAAAAAACTTCAACCAATAGTTTGTTTTGTAAACCCGAGCAGAAAAGCTACCGTGAACAGCACCTGTTCACAAGTATCACGCATGTGGCAGCCATGCTGTAGGCTACACTGCATGACTATTTTCAAGCATTTTCGTGTTGCAATGTCGAAAACGTTGACTCTTATGAAATAAAAAACTAGATAAGAAACTTGCACTCGGTTTTCCCTGCCGATCGATGGACAAGATTCTAAGCGAACGTAAATAGAAAACGTTAACTGACGCATGCTTGGAAAAATCTTTGTTCAGCTATGAACTTCAAAATGTTTATGTGCTATTATGTAAATATATGCTTTTTCACACGGGTGTCGAAGGTAACAACTAACAATCCATATAGTTACACACAGTAGAATCATCTCATTATCATCATTACAACCCCTGACAAGTCCGCTTGAGCATAGGCCTCCTCCAAAGAATAAAACAAACACGATCCTGAACTAACATATCGTCACTACCATCTTGTGGGGCAGCCATCCTAAACCTGTACGAAGCTGCCACTCGAAACTCTTTTCCCCATCAGTTGTCGGATTAAGTTGTATGAACTACCCTTGCATTTTAACTTCCTCTGACTCCCCCATTCAATAAAAAAATGACTAGAATATTATCGTTACCGTTACAGCCTATTAAAGTTCACTACTGAACATAGGCCTACACCTTAGATTGCCTCATAGATAGGATAGATATGGTTAAGATATTTGCTATAGTAGCAACCGCAGTTTATAATTTGTATACGCTGCAGCCCATCTCCCTGAGCTGTTTCCGTCTGTCGCCTCTAACGACATACTCATACGACATGCGTTAGTGAATATTATACTACACGGTTTGAAACTCATACGGGATGTTAACATAAAGTTAATTACACTCACATTAAAGCTTTACATGCAAACTTCCCTTTGCATCCCCGTAATGCAGTTATAACACATATGTATACTCGTTCCAGATATTAGACTTGTCTCATGGCACATAAAATGCTTTTAGAGATCCTCGCATTTCAGTCTGATGCATTTAAATGGGAACGTATGAGTTTTAATACAGCCGCATATCAAAGCCTTTGAATAGGGCACGCTGCTCTGAACTTCCCGAAACTTTACTAGTGATAAACTATGTCCTCAGTAATATTGTAATTAGAAGGAGATTTAATATACCATTTAGAAATTTTGTCTTCAATGTATTAAAAACAGAAAAGACTAAGCTTTATTTTAAAATGGAAACATTACATAGAGGAATACTTTTTTGCTACCCATCTGTCATAACAACTGATGACACATGTATACCGTAACAGTCTCTTAAAAGTCCACAGCCAAACCAAAGGCTTCCTTATTGCCTCATGGGGGACATATTTTCCGCAGTTGCCACGATGGCTGGCGGTTTTGTTTATAAGTTCCTCTTAGGAGTAACGCTGCTGATCATCTCCTGTCTGTTTACCTATGCCTGCCTCTTACGACACCCACAGAATGATATGCAGTAGTGAATATTTTATTCTTACCACCACTAAACGAAAAAATAACATAACGAGTTGTGATGTGACAAAAAATCCGATTTTCAGTGTCAAAAAGTTTTTTTTTGAAAACTGATGTGACAAAAGAAACCTACATACCTGATGATAAGTGACTTCTGAAGCCCATTGCCATCTGCATCCAACTTCAGAAAAGGCTACAGATGTGTTGTCACCTCTGACGATAGAGATGAAACGCTTTTTACCCTTTCGACCAGGATATGTGCGGGCAGCAGAAATATCAACGAGGAATCTACCCAAATGTACTTTTACTTTTAGGCAGGAAAGGGGAAATATATTAAATTATTTATATGGGAGAAAACGTGCCCGTGATTAACGTCCTAAATATAAATAAGCCGTGGTATATACCATTATAATAGCAGACACGCATCTTCAAACAACGAAAACAAAATTTTTACATATTTAGGAAAATATCGTCTAACGTCTATTCATCAAGATAAGTGTTATTATAACTTACTAAACATAAAAAACAAATATATAGTTATGCCCCCGTTTCTCTCACATTATCGTCGGAAGAATCTGTAGAGTTTTCGTGACATTTGACTGACAAAACGAAGAACTTGTATGACAAAGAAATTGAAATAACGATAGTCAATCTCTACACCTACATAATTTAATGAATTTGTGGTTACACAAGAAATACAAATAATTGCAGTCATACCGTGTAACTTATCGATGGCGCGATCGGCTGCGGACTGGTCAGGAAAGTCGACGAAGGCATAGCCCCCACGCTTCACGGAAATATCGGCAACGGTCAAGTTGTGCTCCGCGAAAAGCTGGCGTACGGCTGCCTCGTCGGCTTCTATGGGCAGGTTGCCAATGTACAGCTTGTTCATCTTGAGATCCGGTTCGGGGAAAATTGGGTGAACAGTTAGTACGGAAGACGGTGATGACGACGCGTTTGGTTCGGCTGTCTTTTGTCTATGGGGTCATATTGACACTGACTTGAATTTAGAATCATATTCTCGGTGGCCATGATTAGGCAAAACTGGAAATACCTTATTAAAAAGAGGTTTAATATGTTCCAAGTTTATTGATATTTGATAATAAAATTTAAATTAAAACATGAATCTAAAATGTTTAAAAATAAATATATTACATGAAGTTGGTTTTAAATGATGTATAGTAAGGGTCACTAATAAACGTCGAAATAAAAATATCTAACTTAGTATGTAAGTACTTTACAAATCTAATCTATGCTTTAATAATATAAATTTTATGTAGTTTTTAATAGAATTAGGTAAATATTTATTATGCTTGAATTCTGTTACAGTTTCGACAGGGGATAGTTAAATATTTTTAAAATGTTGCGAAAAGATAAAAATAAAAGATAATAAAAATCGAAAAAAAAAAAATTATATAAATAACCTCGGCTTTTCCTTGGGGAAGGCGGCAGTCATGTTTTTTTAGCTTGTTAATTAAAGGCTGTAATATAAACGAATTAATGGATAAATTCCTTCAAATAATTAATGTCGGCAGTTTAATTTTGATAAATGTGATACTTTATACATAGTTATTTTTCTTTAAATTCTTATTGTCAAAAGAGTGAGAGAATGTAGCTAACTTTTCTTAATTAGAATTTTGGCAGTATTATGACCGCCGGTAATGGTTTGTTTATATTTTTAAATGTCTGAACTAATAAACTAGTACTTAGATGCTGATAAAAGCCTCAAGCTATTTAGTCTGCTTAGGAGCTGGGATGGTAATAATATTAAATGTCTGCTCGTTTGAGCTGCTGTCAAAATCTCCCACATACATCTTAATGTGATGTTACAATTATCGATATATTGTAAACAAATTTTCTAACATATATTTATACTTTGAAAAATATTCATGCAACATAATATGATGTATTACAACTTCTTTTTGGCTAAAAGCCTTGTAGCCAATGCCACAATACATTTAAAAATTATAAATTAGTAATATTCTGTGTGACTCAGCGACAAAAGAGAGAATAATAATTTTAGCACAGACTAATGTATATTTCTTTTAGGCTTAAAAGCATTTAACAATATTGGATTTAATAATTATAATTAATGTTATAATATAGGTGCCCTATATTATCAGTTGTAAATAATTACATAAATATGACTGCTATTAATGAGTATTTTGTGTGTTTAATAAATTAAAAAGATCATTATTATAATTAGTATACACACTAGCAACCCACCTCGACTTTGGCTGGATCTATTATTGTGGAGTTATTTAGATTAATAATAACCATCAAATACTAGTTATTTTATTAATTTATCGTTTCTTTTTAATACCTTCAATCCCGAAATACTCAAACACTGCACAATTTTAAGATGCCGTTAAATCTCTTGCTATCTCTATCATTTTAAGTCAAAGTGACTGTGACAACACGAGAGTTAACGACATCTTAAAATTTAATAGCGCTTGAGTATTAGGCCATAAATTTTTGGAATAAAGTATAGCTTAGACCACTCCTGGTATTTCTCTCAATCTGTTCGTCAAGTTTCACTACAATCAGTTCGGCCATTCCGAAGATTAGCCCGGACAGACTGACAGAGAGACAAAGATTTAAAATGGTTTTTTATATCTTAATAGTATGCAAATAACCCCCTGAGCGTAAAAGAAAACAGTTATTTCAATATTAAAGACAAACACATTTTATTTGCATGTATAGATTATAATATCCGCAGTAGATCTAATGTAACCGACTTAACCCAATATGTCAAACTGAAGAGGTATAGATATAGAACCGGCCATATAGCTCGAAGAACTGATGGGAAAGAAAAGATTCAGCCTCATACAGGAGTGTATGGTGAGAGACGACCTGGTAAGATGTGCAGGAAGTCGATGGATGGATGCGTGGTGGTATGTAGGGGAGGCCAATTCAATAATGATAATGATGTTATTAACAGATCCATGTAGTAGAAGAGATTATCTCATAAATGTAAAAATAAATTGAACTATATCTATAATGGACGTGGCTGTATTATTTAATTGTACGAGCTATATTTAAAAATTAACCACCTCTCCTAAGCAATACGAAGTCAACATATTATCATTAAAAAATTAAAGTGTTCAGTCACAGAACAAATAATAGTACTATAATAGTACTATGTACAGAAGTTGCACTCTTTTGATGTTGACTGCTTGCCGACGTTTTAATAGCCTACATAGTTATTATTAATCAGATAAATCGCACACGCAAGCTATATAAAACTTTATCACTGCGCGCAAGTGTCCGTATTACTTTGCATCTTTTCTCCTTAACTACTTCACAACGGACTTTCCGTGGTTGCTTAGGGCTGTTATTAAAGAGTAAAAAAATACATTGTGAAATGGTAAGTTACTTAGGTATAGTACCTATGATGACTTTAATCGACCATATTATCTACTATGTGAGTTCTGTGATGCCCAACGCATGCAACTTGCAAGGCCATTCGTCGGGAATCGCGATGCTTGGTTCGTATTAGGTAGATAGCGTAAACAACAAATAAATCTACTTAGTTGAAAATCTTGTAAACAAAGTTTTAATTTCTGTATTTTGTGCTATTATAACTTAAATATTTTAATTACAAAGACGAGTATAGGTATGTATTATGTAAGTAGGTACTTGGGTAGTAAAGTAAATTTCAACTAAGTTTTGTATTAAAGTATTTAGGTATTACTTCTGTAGTAAAATTATTACTTAATTATTTTTTCGCCATAAATACTTATCTAACAAAAAATGAAATAAATTTACCTTTCATTATCCTTCGGTAACTCAAAAAATGATATATCTGAATCCTTTGAAAGGCTCACTAAGCATCCATCCTCGCAACAATTATAGTAGGAACGACGTTTTGCCATTATAATTTATGAAATAGATAGGTAATATACATATATATTATTCTTAAATTACATTAAAACTTTTACACTTATTTCATCGTACAATTATATGTACTAAACACTAAACAAAGAGTATTTCGACGAGTATTTCAACAAGTATTTACAAAAAATGATTTACGTAAACAGCGTTAAAAAAACTTTGACCTTCAATCGTATAGAGCGCGCTAGCCCCGACTGCGATCTACCCCTGGGGCAGCTCGCGATTGTAGGTAATTATTTCACGCAGGTAGCAAGAGTGACAGAGGCCTGGTTCAGTGCCGGATGAATGGCTTATCGTGGGAAGTTGAACGCAATACCGCAAGTGTATTGCTAGGTAGGTATATTACTTTTGGCTCCGTGGCTAAATAATAATAGTAATAAGTTCTTTATTTCCAAAAGGTACATAGTACAACCAGATATTTGCTTAACACTTAATAAAGCTAATTTTGTACATATATTTGAAACATAGCATCTGCAGCCGAACTAGGAGACCTGTGCATTAGCTGTCAGCGCCATATCCCCACCGTTAATTTACATGAATATTAGGATGCAAGCAAAAGTTAATTAATTAATATTGTTTAACGAGTTTGTACCTTATGCTAACATAGCCTAGGTACAATGAAATTTAATGGATCACATGTTACGTTCCATATGTTAAGTTATTACTTATACTATATCTATTATTCTATATACATATAACAAATCTGTAGAAAAGCCGTGTCTGTAATTGTAACATATTTTTGAAAAAACAAGTCCATATTACTAACTAAAGTGTGCTGAAGCTAAATTAGTGGTTTTTAGAATTTTTGTCTGTCTGTCTGTGTATTACCGATTCACGCAAAAACTACTAGACCAATTTCCATAAAATTTTATAAGTAGGAAGTTAGTACCCCGGGGCAACTTATAGGCTACTTTTTATCCGATTACGAAACTTAAAAAAGAAGGTTAAGTATTTTTCTTCCTTTAGATGTTAATTTTCTATTATATATGATTATTTTAGTTAATAGGCGGGATGACGGGTGTTTTTAAAAGAAATATTATATTTGTAAATTTAGTTTAAATTAGTTTTAACCTTTGCATAACAATTTGAAACTCCGCTGACGATATGTTTTAATTAGCAAAACAGCGCCATCTATCATCAAATGCTAAAAGCCTACATTTTGCCATTAGTAACTAATAAATTATATAAATAACTTACATTTATATGTTTAAATAATTACATTAATAAAATTATTTTAAAATCCTAAGTCTTAATTTAATCTTTATTTCATTTTAAAAGTGCAATAATTAAAATTTAAAAAATTAACAGATAAAAGTGACATCTATTATCTAAAAACATATACATATAATAAATCTGTAGAAAATCCGTGTCTGTAATTGCAACATATTTTTGAAAACACAAGTCCATATTACTAAATAAAGTGTGCTGAAGCTAAATTAGTGGTTTTTAGAATTTTTGTCTGTCTGTCTGTGTATTACCGATTCACGCAAAAACTACTAGACCAATTTCCATAAAATTTTATATGTAGGTAGTTAGTACCGCGGGGCAACTTATAGGTTACTTTTTATCCGATTACGAAACTTAAAAAAGAAGGTTAAGTATTTTTCTTACTTTAGATGTTAATTTTCTATTATATATGATTATTTTAGTTAATAGGCGGGATGACGGGTTTTTAAAAGAAATATTATATTTGTAAATTTAGTTTAAATTAGTTTTAACCTTTGCATAACAATTTGAAACTCCGCTGACGATATACGTTTTAATTATCAAAACAGCGCCATCTATCATCAAATGCTAAAAGCCTACATTTTGCCTTTAGTAACTAATAAATTATATAAATAACTTACATTTATGTGTTTAAATAATTACATTAATAAAAATATTTTAAAATCCTAAGTCTTAATTTAATCGTTATTTCATTTTAAAAGTGCATTAATTAAAAATTTAAAAAATAATAGATATAAGTGACATCTATTATCTAAAAACATCATGACATCA